CCCAAGCTTCTAGGTGCGCGCAAGCAGTCCGCTGCCGCCCCAAGCCTTGCGCACCCAGCGGGACCTCCTGCCAGGTGCGGGAGGCTTGGGGCGGCAGCGGACTGCTTGCCGGCATGCAGAAGCTTGGGGCGTGCTGAGCTCAGCACGCCCCAAGCTTCTAGGTGCGCGCAAGCAGTCCGCTGCCGCCCCAAGCCTTGCGCACCCGGCGGGACCTCCTGCCGGGTGCGGGAGGCTTGGGGCGGCAGCGGACTGCTTGCCGGCACGCAGAAGCTTTGGGCGCGCTGACCTCAGCTTGCCCCAAGCTTCTGGATTAGCGCAGCGCACCTGGGGGGGAAATAAATTTTTTTTCCTTTATTTCCCCCCCTAAAATCTAGGTGCGTCTTATGGGCCGGTGCGTCTTATGGGGCGAAAAATACGGTATAATTAGAGGCATAAAGTGTTTTAAGGATTGGCAGAAAGACCTTGCCAAGTTTATTTGGCAAGGGGAAAAACCACGCATAAAATTTAAGCTACTAACAGAGTTGAAGGAAAAAGGAGGCTTCGCGGTCCCTGATCTTAAACTGTACTTTGAGGCAGTGTGTTGGACATGGATTAAGGACTGGATATTAATTAAAAACACGGAAGTCCTAGATCTGGAGGGATGGGATATTGTGTACGGGTGGCATGGCTACATAGGCTATGACAAGGTTAAATCCCGCAAAGGATTTTTAAATCACATTGTGAGAAGGGCATTATATGAAGTATGGGAGAGGAGTAAAAAATCAGTAGTTACCAAAACACCATGGTGGCTGACACCAATGGAATCTATGTCAGTTCACAGGATGAATATGAACAGCGATTGGCTAACATATAAGGATTTAGTAGAGGAAACAAGTAGTGATCCGAAAATAAAGGGCCTAAGCGAATTGAAACAGAAGGGAATAACCTGGCTGGAGTATTATCAATTAAAAGCCGCCCTTGAAAAGGATAAAAGAACCAAAAGATTTGACAAAAAAATATCCTATCTGGAGAAGGATATTTTATATAATAATCAAAAGACACTTTCTAAAATGTACAAACTACTTTTGAATTGGCAAAGAAAGGAGGAAGATATCAAAGAAATTACAGTAAAATGGGAGAGGGACCTGGGACATACGATCAAACCCAATATTTGGAACGAATTATGGACTAAAAATATAAAATTCACGGCTTGTTTCCTTATAAGGGAAAATCTGGCTTGTTTCCTTATAAGGGAAAATCTCATGAAAATGTACTATAGGTGGTACCTGACCCCTGTAAAACGTGCAACAATAAATAAATCAAATAATAACAAGTGCTGGCGGTGTAAGGAACAGATAGGAACATACTACCATATGTGGTGGTCCTGTCTAGAAATACAAAGATTTTTGAACATGATTTATGAAGAGATAAAGAGATTGATAAAAACTACATTTAGCAAGAATTTTTACTCTAAGACTGCCTTTCAAATCAAGTGGTTGCCCCCGTTTCCACCTCTAGATCTTCATGAATCACCTGCACAGTCCCACTGACCTCAGGAGGTCCATGTGGACCATTATGTGAGACCCAGGTCTACATCCTTTCCAGGGACTGTGGTCTGGGTCAGTCAGAGAACTAGTGACAAGGCTTGGTGCTTGGGGTCAGCTGAATGGGTGCTCAGGGAAGCTCCTGTTCTTGGAGATGGACCTCTGTCTACATGCCTTGCATTGCATGGAGAGAGCAGGAGAAGCAGAAGGAAAGCAGATGGCACATGGGAATCCCAGGCAGAAACACCCACCCCAATGGTTCTTTATAATGATGATGTGCTGCCTGATCCTGTGCTTGTCTTCTGACAGAGGACTATCCTAATCTGGCACTGAAAAGCAGGATATTCAAGGCAAGGAGATAACTGTACTTAATGGTAGGTAGACATATTGGTCTGGCACAGTTGAAGTAAAAAAATTAACAAAAGTAGTCCAGTAGCAACTTAGGGTCTTGGGAGAAAAGTAATGACAAACCTAGACAGCATCTTAAAAAGCAGAGACATCACCTTGCCAACAAAGGTCCGTATAGTTCAAGCTATGGTTTTCCCAGTAGTGATGTATGGAAGTGAGAGCTGGACCATAAAGAAGGCTGATCACCAAAGAATTGATGCTTTTGAATTCTGGCGCTGGAGGAGACTCTTGAAAGTCCCATGGACTGCAAGAACATCAAACCTATCCATTCTGAAGGAAATCAGCCCTAAGTGCTCACTGGAAGGACAGATCCTGAAGCTGAGGCTCCAAGACTTTGGCCACCTCATGAGAAGAGAAGATTCACTGGAAAAGACCCTGATGCTGGGAAAGATGGAGGGCACAAGGAAAAGGGGACGACAGAGGACGAGATGGTGGGACAGTGTTCTCGAAGCTACCCGCATGAGGGAGGCAGTGGAAGACAGGAGTGCCTGGCGTGCTCTGGTCCATGGGGTCACGAGGAGTCGGTCACGATTAAATGACTAAACAACAACAGCAGCAGCAGCACCTTAGGGACCAACTAAATTTGTTCTAGGTATAAGCTTCCGTGTGCATTCACACTTCTTCATATAGTGATGGGTAGTAGGAGATGGAAGTAGGAGTACCTTTCTGAGAAAAACCCCAGCCCACCCTCCCACGATATACAAGGGTCTGGTGACATCTGTCTCAGTATATCTGAAGAAGTGTGCATGCACACGGAAGCTTAAATCTAGAACCATCATAGGTGCTATTGGACTATTTTTTATTTCAACTGCGTCAGACCAACACGGCTACCTACCTGAATCAAGATGTCATGGGGTGTTGGGGAGCAGTAGTTCCTTTGGTGGGGGACATGTCCTGCACCTTCTGGGGTCATTTTTCCACCCTTGGTCCCCACCCTGCACTCAGCTCTCACCTGTGGCTTCCAGAAGCTGTCAGCATGCAACAGGGGTTCAAGCAACGGCTTCAACCGGCCGGCTAAACCAGGTGAGGAAAGCTGATGGGTCTCAAATCCTTGGGGGGCTGGGGAATTCTGCTGCACCTGAAGTCAAGCCCTGGTGGATGGAGAGGAGGAGAACAACCGTGAATCCCACAGTCCAGAAGGCAGATTCTGCCCGTGCGGAAGAGGAAAGTGAAGGGCAGATGGGGCACGTCCAGCTGGAGGCTTGTTATCTAGTCCCAGGGTTACTCTGACATTGAACTATATATAAATTACAGTATTGAAATGCGCCTGCTCCCACTTCATAGTCTGATATTACTATACAGTGGTGCCTCGCAAGTCAAAAAGAATCCGTTCCGCGATTCTCTTCATCTAGCGGTTTTTTCGTCTTGCGAAGCAACCCCATTAGCGGCTAAGAGGATTAGTGCTATTAGCGATTTAGTGGCTATGAAAGGATTAGCGGCTTAGAAAAAGGGGGAGGAAGCGGGGGGGAAATGGTGAGACTCGCAAGACATTTTCGTCTTGCGAAGCAAGCCCATAGGGAAATTCGTCTTGCGAAGCGCCTCCGATATGGAAAATCCTTTCGTCTAGCGGGTTTTCTGTCTTGCGAGGCATTCGTCTTGCGGGGCACCACTGTATTCTGTCTGATTCTTACTTGAGTGCTGTGTTTGCATGCTAAGTCAGGGTTTTACTGTGAGTTACATTTTTGCTATTTTTTGGAACCTGTTATGCTTATCTGTCTTCAGTAATAAATTTCTTAGCTGAATTACTTTTTTCCTGACCGTGCGTGTTTTCCTACTCTGCTAGCTATACATTGATCATTATGGAGGAGCCAGTGGCGTAGCATGGGGGTACAGGGGGGGCCGGCCGCACCGGGCGCAACATCTGGGGGTCGCGCTCGCACTCGCAGTGCTAAAAGCCACAGGTTAGGGGGCGCAAATTACTTGCCTTGCCCCGGGTGCTGACAACCAACGCTACGACACTGGGAGGAGCAAGATCTGCAACCTAAAGCCCTCAACAGCCTTGGCCTTGTGGACCTGAAGGAGCATCTTCACCCCCACCGCTCAGTCCGGACAGGGAGGTCCACCTCCGAGGGTCTTCTGCTGGTTCCCTTGCTGATAGAAGTGAAGTTCCAGGGAATCAGGCAGAGGGCCTCCTGCCCCATGGAATGCCCTCCCTTCCGAGGGCAAGGAGGTAGGCAACTATCTGACATTTAGAAGACAGCTGTATCAGGAGGTTTTTAATGTTGGATGTTTTACTGTCTTGTATATGTACTGTAGGGACGCGGGTGGCGTTGTGGGTTAAACCACAGAGCCTAGGACTTGCCGATCAGAAGGTTGGCGGTTCGAATCCCCGTGACAGGGTGAGCTCCCATTGCTCAGTCCCTGCTCCTGCCAACCTAGCAGTTCGAAAGCACATCAAAGTGCAAGTAGATAAATAGGTACCGCTCTGGCGGGAAGGTAAATGGCGTTTCCGTGCGCTGCTCTGGTTTGCCAGAAGCAGCTTAGTCATGCTGGTCACATGACCCGGAAGCTGTACGCTGGTTCCCTCGGTCAGTGAAGCGAGATGAGCGCCGCAACCCCAGAGTCGGCCACAACAGGACCTAATGGTCAGGGGTCCCTTTACCTATATGTACTGTAAGCTGCCCAGAGTGGCTGGGGGAAAATACTAATACTAGAACTTCTACAGTGGTACCTTGGGTTACAGGTGCTTCAGGTTACAGGCGCTTGAGGTTACAGACTCTGCTAACCCAGAAATAGTACCTTGGGTTAAGAACTTTGCATCAGGACGAGAACAGAAATCGAGAGGCAGCAGCAGGAGGCCCCATTAGCTAAAGTGGTACCTCAGGTTAAGAACAGTTTCAGGTTAAGAACGGACCTCCAGAACGAATTCAGTTCTTAACCTGAGGTACCACTGTAATATTATTATTATCGTGTGATTTTTGGGGGGAGTTATTTTGGAATTTTTACTGCAATATTAGCTTACGAAATGTTATGGGTGGAGAAAATCACAGGGTTGCCATAAACTATAATCCCACCCACAAACGCTCATTCACACACAGTCTGTAAATTTGGGGAAGTCATACACCTCACCTGTGCTAATACTGGCAGTCTTTGGCCTGCACAGGCACACCCGGTATGTAGAGCCTCCAGCCCCAGGCACTGTCTATCATGAAAATGGCTCTTTTGACTGGAAAGATTCATGCAGTCGCTGTCATCGGATGATAATGGGTTGTATCTCAGCTTGTCAGTCACTTTGACATTGCCTAGAAAGAATGAGAGGAACAGAAATGCTTTTGAGGTGCAACTTCTCTATCAATCCTGAGAGCCATTCCATGGACTCTGCACCCCTGTTTCTGATGACAGGTGTACATTATCCTCATCCTCAGAGGAAAAGATGGAAGCCTGAGAGAGAGGAAAACGTTTCTGGCTGCTTCCTGGGTGGGATTGCGGAATCAGAGAATGGCTTCTGAGAAGGCCTCCCCCTCCCCTCTCCCTCTGGGGATTTCAACTCCTCTCCAGGGGACCGGTGGTTAGACTGGGCAGGTCAGGGGCTTATGAGGTGGGAAGAGGATGGAGGTTGCAGGATGGAAGGGTGGGGGGACAGGACCCCCACTTTCCAGGAATCCCTCTCTGGTCGCCTTGAAGGGGGGGGGGTTGATTGCTTGGCGAGAGGGAGAAGCCAAGGCGGCCCCTCCGGAGATTCATCGTGGGCGTCATGATGGAAATGTCTCCCCAAAGACTGGTCTTCCTATCTTCCCACCCACCCTGCCAATGCTGCGCTTCCCTGCCTCGGGGATGCCCCCCTCCCTTCTCCCCCTCCTTCCATGACCCCCTCTCTTTCTCCCGGAGTCTCCCCTGCACCCAAAGGCTTCCTTGGCACCACTCACCCCACGTCCTACGCCCCATCTCTCCATCTGCATGCCCCCCAAACAGGAGCAAGGGAGGGACAGGGGGGGTCTCTATCCAGGTGTCTCTCGCGCCCCTTAAGCTTTTCATGGGACGCGCGGAGCCAGGGGAAACCGGGCGAGGGGTCTGCCCTGCGAGGAAAGCCCCCTTCGCAGCAGGCATGCCGGGATCCAGGCCCCACGGAAGGAGATTTGGGGAGCTGGAGGGGTCTCTGCAGTGGCGTAGCATGGGGGGTGCCCAGGGTGCCGGCCGCACCGGGCGCAACATCTGGGGGGGCGCAAGTCCAGAGGGAAGGGACAAGTTCCTTCCTCCGCCGGGCTCCCCGCAGCCACCGCCAGCCTTGCGTCCTAACTGACGCCTGGCCGGCACGGGCAGCCTCCGCACCCCGACGCGCCGCCGGGCCTCGCCGCGCCCTGCGCTCCCCAAAAACCTCCGAGAGGAAGCTGGTGGGCGGGCGAGGCCTGGCTAAGCCTCTCGCCAGCGGGTTAAGGGGCTTTCGGTTTTAAAAGGATTAGCTTGGGAAGGGGCGGGGGGGCTGCTCGCCGGCAAGCGCCTGCTCCGCGTTTCCAAAGGCGCTCGCCATCCGAGGGACACGGAGCGCTTGCAAGGAACGGGCTCCGTGGAGCAGGTTAGGAAGAGATCCCTTCCCTGGCAGGCCGCCGGCTTCGCCAGCTGTTTCCCATTCACGATCAGGAGGAACTTCAGGCTGCTTTCAGCTTTGGTAGAGGGAATCTAAGCAAGGGGATGGAGCCGGTGCCCTGAGGAAAGGCGGCAGCATTGGGTTTGTTTTTAGTTTAGAGAAAAGGCAAGCAAGAGGCGACAGGAGAGAAGCCTGCAAAACTAAGGCATGGCAAGGAGAGAGTGGACAGAGAGGAAAGTTTTTATCCCTCTCTCTGTACAATATAACTCGTGGGCATCCAGTGAAGCTGAACGTTGGAACAGTGGCGTAGCGTGGGGGGGTGCCAAGGGTGCCGGCCGCACCGGCTGCAACATGGGGGGGGCGCTCGCACTCGGGTGCTAAAATCCACGGGTTAGGGGGCGCAAATTACTTGTTTTGCCCCGGGTGCTGACAACCCACGCTACGCCACTGGGTCTCTGGGTCCTTTTCTTCCCTCTCCCCCCCCCCCCGCGACCCCTTTACCTCTTTGTCCTCGCTCCCGATTCTCCTTTCCTTTCCCGCAGCATCGAAAGCCGCCCCCCCCCTAGATCTACGGGGCAGAGCAGCAATCCAAAGAGGAAGCTCCACGTCCTAGAGAAGAAGGCAGGGTGGGAGGGGGCTCACACCCCCCATTCCTGGGACAGAAGAGCCGGATTGGAGGAGGAGGGAGGGGTGAGACGTTTGGGGGCGGGATCTGGGCTTGTGGGGGTGGGGTGAGAGGAGGAGGTGCCGGGAGGGGAGGGAAAGAATTGAGGGGGGAGAAGAAGGTTTCCCCTCTACCGTCTTCCTTCTGGATCAGGAGAGCGGGGGAGGGGCTAATCCCGGAGATCCAGTTGCCAAGTGGGGTCCCCCCCAAAAGTGCTACACCCTCCCCCACCCCACGAGCTTAGATCCCTCCGTGCTTTAGGTATTGGTGCTCTTCAAACCAGGAATAGAGGGGGGCAGCTAAACGACTCCCCCCAAATCCCAGCTCCCCACCCCAGACTCTGACTCAGGCCAGGACAAGGACCGTGGACACAGGCCCCGTCCCTGCACAACAGCCAAGAGGCTCAGAAAAGCAGCCGATACAATTGTAGCCAGAAGCGGATTCCAAAATCTGAGGGATCCCTTGGACCAGAAACAAGGAGACCAGTCAGGAAGAGGAGAGCAAAAGAGCAGCCAGTAGGTCTTGATTGAACACTGTCGCGACAGGACTCCCACCTGCCCCCAGGTGGAACAAGATGGAAGACCCCAACAAAAGAAGACCCCAACTTTTATTAGCTGCTAATCCCCTGACCAAACTGCGGAGGCAGTGGAAGACAGGAGTGCCTGGCGTGCTCTGGTCCATGGGGTCACGAAGAGTCGAACACGACTAAACAACAACAACAAATCCCCCATGCTACTCCCCCAAGACTACATCATGACTACATCATTGACACATCACAAAGAGGAGGGGTTGAGGGAGGAGTTGTGGTGGTAACCTGAGAGTCTTGTTGAGAGCCAGTGGGGTAGAATCATAGAATCATAGAGTTGGAATAGACCACAAGGGCCATCGAGTCCAACCCCCTGCCAAGCAGGAAACACCATCAGAGCACTCCTGACATATGGTTGTCAAGCCTCTGCTTAAAGACCTCCAAAGAAAGAGACTCCACCACATTCCTTGGCAGCAAATTCCACTGTCGAACAGCTCTTACTGTCAGGAAGTTCTTCCTAATGTTTAGGTGTGATACGGAAAGGGGGTGGCATGTCTTCTTCACCTTCTTCTTCGCTATAATATATCCATTTATTTCCAATTGTCAATGTCAAAAGGGACTAAAGTCTATAAAATTCATAGAAAATCAACGTGCCAATTTGCTCAATTTCTCTAGGACTCCATGACACCTCCCCTGTCCTCCATAATCCCTCAAGCAAGGTGTCAAGACCCTAATCCTGTCAAATCACTCTGCCAAGCCTTTCCTCCGGGCAATGCCAGTACATGGACCATTGTCTATTCATCACCGGTATTCAGGATGCGCTTATCTGCGCATATCTCCAGCTCTGCATATTCCCCCCTCCCTCCTCCATATGTTAATCCTGTGTAACCCAACCTCTTCTTAATGTATTCATGATGTAATCTGTGTAACCCAACCTCTTCTTAATGTATTCATGATGTAACTGGGATGTGTTTTGCACTGTATTCTGGGGCATGGAGAGAAGTTTCAAAAGTTTATGTCACCCCTTTCTCGTGGTTCAATCTCGCCTTGAACCTGTTGCGCAATAAACTTGGATCTTCTGCAGCTTGCTCCTGTCTCCGGCTGAGCTCATTTTCCTCCGCAGGGACCTGCGGACTTACTCCGATGATCTGGGTGGCAGAGCAGCCTCGCACGCAGATTTTACCGTAACAGATGGCGCCTGAAATCTTCAGCCGGCACCGGGCCATTTTGCCTGGGAAGATCCTTTGGACCCCCGGCCATCTTCCGGGTGGTAATCGAAAGCCCCAGGAGTTCAGCCGGGGAGCAAAGAGGGATCCAGTCGGCTTATTCATCGATCCCGGGATCATCATAGAAGAAGCGTGAGTATAAGGAAAAGGAAAAATCCAGTGCACTGGTGGGAAGGGGGTGGAAATCTCCTGGCAACTGAATTCTCTGCCCTCCTCTCTATCGCTCCTTCTTACCTTTCTCTTGGTCCGGTTAGTGAGGGAGACCGTGGACCACTGCTCAACCTGAAAGGGGAGTTCTGAGCTCTATCTCTTTCTCTTAAAAATCTTCAGCCAGCCACACCAATTGGGAGCCCAAAAGTAAGACAGAGAGAGCTGACTTGAAAGACAGCCGACTCTCCGCAACGGGCATCTCAGTTGAAAGCAAGGGATTGGAGCTCTCTTTCCGAACTTCCCTAGCGCCCAGCAAGGGGGCAGGAAAGGGTCTGGCTTTCTGTCTCAATCCCAGCCGCACTGGTCGGTGCCACATAGCACATGTATCGTGCGTGAGCCCACTTCCAAAAGCAAGGGGGATTTTCGGTTCAAAACTCTATCCAGGGATCACCCGATCTGGCACCGCACGGCGCGGGCGTTCAGTAGGGCCCCTTTTCCTGAGATTGTGACGATAGGTAGGAGGTTGCCAGGAGGCATAGCCCATGAGGAATTGGGCAGGATTTGGCAGAGTGGAAAGGAACCCCAAGATTTGGAATAGGAAATAAGGAAAGGAACGAGAGGTAACCGGATAGCTAGAGCTCAATAAACCACTAGGAAGTTGCCAAGCAACAAGGAAAAGGAAAACCCTAAATAGCCCCCTGTACAAGTTACCCAAATCCTAATCAACCCCTCTCTTTCTCCCTTCTCTATCCCAGACACCCCAAAAAAGAAAAACAACAAAAAAGCAACAACAGCAACGCATGCATATATAAAGGGGTACCCAGTCAACCAAGCGTTGTGAGCCCTGCCAGTTTGATTAACTGGTGGTGGGTTTTAAGAGGCAAGGAGGCTCATAAAACCATGTGGGACCTTCCTACTAATTTCACTTAATGAAGCCAAAGGAAGCGGTCTAACTCCTTGAAATAACCAACTAAAGGAGGAGAATATATATGTTTACATGTTGTCTGTTATGTGTGTTGTCTGTTAATACATATATGAGAATATGTATGTTTACATGTTGTCTGTTATGTGTGCTGTCTGTTCCTTCTGTCTCTGACAGACTGCCTTTCTCAAGTGTGCATAGTTTAAACTACAAGCTTGCTTCAATATTT